TAATGTTGTTGCTGTGTGCAAAAATCAGCAAGTTCCTATTTGCAGCATTAGCCAAGGCACAGGAGGGAACTGTGAACCATTCGTGTCTCAGTAGAGCAAACCACCCCATCAGTTCTGGGAGGTGGAAAATTCTCACTGTCTGAAGTCCCACCAGAGAAACATTTCCCTGCTCTTCCCAAACAGAGACTTTTCTATGCAGTTGCACAAGGAGTACAGAAAAGAGCTGTGCTGACACTTAGAGGAAGACTTAACTGTCACTGTTGCATTTGTTGAGGGGGCAAATGATACGCCATCTGTCTTCAAACACCTATTGGCATTCCTGATGTTTGATGACCATTTTAGCCTCTTTCATGCTGCAGTAGTGAGTTTGAATAGCTTCATTCATGACAGTTATTGTTCAGAGGGGCAAACAATTTAAATATTGATACAGATATTGATATATCCATTCGATAAGGATATTGAAATACTTTTTAACAGTTAGCATGGCAGGTTAGTATATGTAATGTTAAAGAAGCATGTGTTGCAATTAAGAAAAATAATCAACTAAGCAGTTAAACATCAGCTTTTGAGCTTTTTGCTACAAAGCGCAGCAACAGACCCAATTCAGCAGTCTGCAGTATATACAGATACAGAATCTGAACTGAAATATTCGACTACAGATTTCATATTATTTTGATTTGCTGAAAATCCACCATTTTAGCTAGATGCAGTGATTTCTGTGGCACTCATCCTCTCTGGTAATGAGGTGTATTTATAGAAGTTTTTGCGCAGAGGTCTTAGTGTTTTGACTGATCTAAGACCAGTCAATCTATGCCTGTAGACAAGACCAAATTTATCAGGGCAATCAGTTTCCACTGCTGCCTTTAGACACACAGAGGAAATGTTAGTGAGTCAGGAAAATTATTCAGATAGCCTTTCCCAAGGGGCTTTTAAGCAATGTTCCAGCAACACATCCATCTTCAAACAAAGTTGCAGCTGTCCTGCCGTGGATGGGAGAGCACATAGGAATTTGGGACTGAAGATTTCCTCATTGCTTGCCTGTACAACCAAACATTCACCTGCCAAGTGACAGAGAAGGAGTCCCAGCTCATTGCCTGAAGCACCCTATTAGGAGACTGCAAATCCCACAGCAGCCGAAAAATCAAATACAGGTGAAATTGGAATGAGGAACTCTAAGTAAACACTTCTGCATCAGGTGCAAGTGTGCTCGGTGGGCGTCAAACAGTCTGTCTTCTGTGTATCATCTTGTTAAGGTTTGAGATTTTCTGCTTTTTAAGAGCAATTTAGACTTTTTATCCACTGCATGCTGTAGCTTTCTGCAGTCCTGAAGAAACTGAGCTATGCCTTTGAGAGACTTGCAAATTTGGGTAGATTTGTGAAGTCATGGTGCTTCCAGATGTCCTTCCATCTTTTAGAGCAGAGCTTTATAGTGGTTATTCTGTTATGTTTATAAAAGGAATTTATGGCTAGCAATATCTTATCTGTTATTAAAATTAGGCTCCATACTTGGATGTCTAAAGATAGAGTCTCTAGATGGGTTTTCTTATGTTCAAATTAAACAAATCAAAGAGAATTTTTTTTACTCTCCACAAATAAAATGATGTTATATTCATTAGCAGTTGGAGAAGATGCTTGGTAATTTTCCAAGTGCAGACTATAGCCTGGATTAAGCATGTAACATGAGTCTGAGTACCTATAAAGCCTCACTGGCCTTCTGCTGGATAACATCAGTAAATTGTATGGCTTTGTATGGAAGTTGGTTAAGGCTGATGTACAACCACCACTGCACCAAGCTCCTCTAAAATGTTCCATTTTCTACAAGCAACGGGGACAGATGTGTCACTCATGGTAGGTGCCAGCCAGATTTGTTGAAGGGGAAACCCTTGCAAGGGCGTTAAGGAGAGTGAAGTACATGTCATCCTTTCTTCTGATGAACAATCGTTCCTGATATCACTGGGGTTTACCACCTGCCCTGTTTGCAGCTGCAGCGTTTGCTTCCATCTCCCACACACCATCCTCTCTCCTGCACGCAAGCGGTGCTGTCCCAACAGCTTATTCATTGTTGTCCTTGCTTTGCTATGGCATAACAGAGCTGGCTGCCAAGCCAGCTGTGATCCTCTAGCCTTTCCATAAACTGCTAGATCTGATTTACAGAAGCTCTGTTTCTTCCCTGCTGAAATCTTAGAGTATGTGCACCACAGCTCCTTTCAGCTTGGGTACAATTCTTTCTTCTTGAGCCATACCCCATGAATGTGTCTCTGTCTTGTGTGCCTCACTAACAGCTTCTGCACAGCCCAATGTTGGATGGATCTAGTTGTTCAGTGCCTTATCACTGATGCAATCTTTTCCTCTTATGGAAAGTGGGAATGAAATTGCCTAAATTAAGCAATTGTAGAAGCCTTGAAGGATAAAGCTTCCTTTCTACTTTGGGCTGTTTTTATAGTAAGACTGCCATAGTTATGTTTTTCCTCCATGTTTACTGGCATAGGAAATAATGCATGACTGGGATTTTATGGTACTTGCAGCTTGATATTTTTCCCATGAACTATTCAAATAAATTGCTTTTGGATTTTTAGCACCTTCTTCCCACTTCTGTATCAAATTAGGACAGTCAGAACAGAGAGAAAATATTCTCTTTACCATGAAGTTAAAGGAGTTTGATGACCTTAGAGGGCAGACTCTTGTCAGCACTGGTGCATCATCATCTCAGCAGGTCCAAGATCCAGCCCTTTGGATGGTCTGTTGTCCCTTTTGGTTAGGAGCACAGCTGTGAAGAAGGAAAACATGTGAGTCATGATCAGAGAGCTGCAAGAGCTGCAGTTTTCCCTTTCTCCAGCCAAGCCTGGCCCTCTTCTTGTCAAAATATTCAGAGTTTAATTCTGTGAGGACAGAAGCTTTCATATGCAGTGCTCCACCAGTTTCTCAGATGAAATATTCCATTCTTTCACTAAAGCTGCCATCTCTTGGCAGTAAACAACCCGACTTAAACTCTTCTATTGATATTTTATCATTCTTGTTTGTGACTTGCTATTAAAAGTGCTATAAATCATGGAGGTAGCAATGAAGGTATGGTTAGGATTTTACCTGTCTGTTTTTCTCTTGTTTGATCATTGTGTGAGCTTGAAGAAATTGTATGATCTCTCTGGACCTCCAAATATCTGCAAATTGGGGATGGTATCTAGAGAGTGGCACTGAGAGAGTGTTTACTGCACCACACTATCTATAACTTACCTCCCTGAAGTAATTCTTACGTTCAGGGGAAACTCTGAAGGGGTAAATTCTGACGTATGGGCTCTTAGCAGATCTGAAACTTCATTGCCTACCATTTAGATAAAATCTATTCAGTGCTGCTTTCAAGCAGCAGCCAGGGTAAAGCACTGATGAAATTAATTGTATGTTTCACTAGCTTTCGTTTTTGTGTTTTAAAGCATGTGGTAGTTGACATTTCAAGCATTACTGAAGTTTTAATCCTTTGTGTTTCCCATAATTTGTATAATGCCTGTATTGTCCTTGGTATGCATGCAAGCCTCCTATAAAGCTCCTCTCTTCAGAAGTTTCATGAACAAGTCAGAAATGTCTTGCTTGACAGGCAGGACTTGTGAATTTACTCTCTGACTCTTCACATAACAATAGTTTTTACATATCAGTATCTTTTAAAGTAGCATACTTACCTTTCAGAGAATTAACATTCTTTCCTCCTTTCTTCCTAACATGTACACGACAGGATTTCGGCTGATCAAGGCTGCAAGTACATAACCTTGAGGAGTGGACAGTAAATCATTGTGGCTTTGTTTTTCCCTTCAGATAATCCTCACAATAATCCTGAAGCCCAGTTCCACAGCAGAGACACAGCACTTGAGTTCCTGAAGTGTTTCAGTGGTGGTTTTTGTTACTCAGGTTTGTCGGGCAGCCTGGTTGCAATAGGGAGCTTTTCCACAGTTTGAGGCAAAGGGACTGTTTCTCCCCAGATCATGACAAACTAGTCCTATTGTATAACTGCTGTTGCAGTCTTAATTAGCTGTGGGTTTATACACTCTCATGTGAAGGAGAGTGTTGGCTGCAACTGTCTTGAAAGCCATTAGCAGTTTGGAAAGAACAAATTGTTTGTGATGTGATTTCTGTTGCACAACTGGTTAACCGGAGTTTGTAAGAGCAAACTAGCTCAGCCACTTCTCAGGTTTTTCTGTGCTGTGGTCTCATTTGTACAACAGTTTCCCCAGGCTACCATGCTGTTCTTGGGAAAAGCTACCATCTAGCAGCAGTAGCTGTGGACGATAACCAGATACTCTGGAGCTGTGGTTAAACATTCTTGAAATATTTAGGGAAAGCAGCATGATTTTGTCAGAAATGTTTGTGCTTAATTGGTACAAGCACAGTGCTTACTTTGTTCATGAAAAATCATCTTTATCATCAGTTCCTGAATAAAACAAAGAAAATAAAAGATTATTGGGGAGTGTTTACTCAGGGTTTAGAAATTCATCAAGCGCTTACAACATGCCACAATCAGCTGACTATGATTATCTTAAATTCTTAATTCTTATCTTGCATTAAAGAAGCAGAAGCTCCCAACTCTTGGTCCTGATATGGACCGTTGAAGTCTTCCCATGTACCATCTTACATTGCTCATAGGTATAAAGGCAAGGGATGAGCTTTCACTTGTTAATGTCCGCCTCATCATAGTCTACCACAGACAAGGCTTCCTGCCGTAAAACTCTTACTTTATCATGTGCTCCATATTAACATTTTCATATTAACATTTGCCGGTTCTGGTTTAACTTATCAACTTAGATGGGGTGGTAGTTCATATTTGCAGTGTGATAGTTACATTGCACTTCTAAATCTTAATGAATGCCCAAGATCTTCAGACATTCAGGTTTAATAAATAATTTAAAAATATTAGTTAGATGCACCTGAAACAGAAAAATGGATCAAAAAAGGATGGTAATTTTGTAAAGATTATTTATGGGTAAATCCTTTATGTTACTTTGTGTTTTCTCTAGATTTTCTCAACCAGACAACATATGAAGTTGAGGCATTCTTAGAAGCCATTCAATTCTTCCGGCAGGAGAAAGGCCACTATGGGATGTGGGAAATGATAACTGGTAACGAAAAAGAGGTAAAAGAATATCTTCCTGATATTTTATTGGCTTTGGATATGTCAGCTTTGAGGATAATGAAGGTTGTAAAGCCTCTTGGGAAAAAATGGCATTTTGAAAAAGAAAATCTCATAGGTAGAAATGCCCAAGATTTCAAGATACTTCTTACTGATATGTAAAGTGATAATTCTTTTTTAATAAAATCCATTTTGAGTTTTTTGCTAGAAACTGAAAGAAAGTGTGCTATGAACTAAAATTCTTGCATTGTACTAGAATGTAGGGATGACTACATTTCCACAAAAAAGCTCATGCATCTACTTTAATTTTATGCCATGGGGTCAACTGGTGAATAAATGCTGTGTCTTAAACAAAGCACTTGCTAATATCTCTCTATCACATTTGGTGCTGTTTACAGTTTCAGTAAATTAGTGAAAACAAAAGCAATACACACAAAACACAGTAGATACTCTCTGTCAGCTGAATCGGGCTTTGCTCTGGTTTTCTATCTTTCATGAGAGCTATTTTGCAGATAAGAGATTTTTTTTTTCTTCTGTTGCTATTACCTTTGTTACTTAACACAATACTTTCCTGCTCCTTGTCCTGTAATGCCTCCAGATGTCATCATAGGAGATCAGGTTTCATGAAGAACAGAATAGCAGCTAAACAAAAATTTTGAAGAACCTCTTCATTTTGCTTTTCCCTGTACTTTGGGACTGAAGCTTTTAGTCCTGATTGGATAAACTGGTATACCTACTTATTGTGCCAGACTTCTGAAACAAGAGTCTTGCATAGTAACAGTCATACTTAAACACCAGGAATCTGTGTACTTCAGCTCTTCAGAAATGAGGTCCTAGGTCTGGGTCCATATTTGGGCACCTGAGCGAGTAGCTTTGGAGCACTGGTGGTAGCTAAAGTAATTTCACTGATCTCTCTGGCATCACTCCAGATGTCTTTTAGTGCAATTGAGCCATTATTTGGGCCCTGATTTACAATTGTTTTCCTAAGCACTGAGTACTCAGCAGCAAATATTTACTTCAGTACCAGCTGCTGGGTGTTTTCCTTTATGAAATCTCTCTTCCCTTTGGGAAAATGGGAAAAAGCTTGATGCAGAGTTTATAATGTGGGGATTTGTTTTAAGAAATCAGATTATTCTTTTAGGAGAAGTCTACTTTTGAAATGCTGAAGAATGTGGAAACTGGGGAAGAAACTATAAACATTGTCTTTCTCAATGCCATCATGTCAGGGATTGAGGTTTACTGCTAACATCTGATAATTCCTTAGTATAAGGAGTTCCATCTTTCCAATGGAGGGAGTGAGGGTTTTCCTCTTCTCCCCTCCTCCCTCAAGTTACGTAGCTGTTATAGTGCTAGTTCCATTTTATGTTTTATTTTTATTTTTGCTTGCCAACTACTTACTCATAGCCCATATACCTCAAGAGAACTGTAATCAGAAGACATCCAGACTAGATATGCTATTATCTTCTTAGTAATAATTCATTCTGCAACTCTGGTTTGTTCTCACGCTTACTTTAACAAATATAATAATTATTTTAGGCAAATATCCAAGCTAAGTGAGTGGTTTGGAATGAGCAAGCTACAGTTTGTTGCTGTAAAAATCTCTGAAGAATGCCAATAAATATATTCCCTGACATTAATTTATAAAGACAGAGTCTCTACAGCACTAGCTCATGCAGTTCTACGTAGGTACTGCAACATGGATGTAATACTAGCAAGTACCCAGTCACTTGGCTGAAGACCTACTGATTTTTTTTTTTTCTGTGTCATAAAAGTTATTTTTTATGGTTTTGTTTTTGTTCTTTTTCATTTTTAAGGTTTCACTATTAATAAAGCATAACTTCAGTAGTAGATGGTATTTCTGTAGGTTAAGTGCTGAAATACTGGGTTAAACCCATTAAAATATCAAAAATGCTTGTTGTAAGCAGCAGCAGAGAGCTTTTTTTGGTGAGAGCACTAAAACACCCTGATTTTGTACTAATATAACTTCATTGGTCAGTACTACATGAATGCAGAAGTAACGCACTGGTAAATCAAGAATAGCAGAATAAGGGATTAAAAAGCCCCAAAATTCTACAGTGCACCTTTCAGTACAGAAATATAAAGCCAATCCAGCATTCCTAAAAACGTGCTCAAATTCTTCAGAATATGTTTGATCCATTGTCACATTTATTATTTGTTCTGTGGTGCTCCAGTTTGGGTTATTCTTGAGATTATTTTTAACTGAACTATTAGTTTAGGACCTGAAATAGTCCGTTGGTTTTGACAGGTATTTGAGTCAGCACAGCTGAATCCAAAGTGGTAGTGTGGCATAATCTATAAGTACTTAAGTTGCATGAAACAATTTTAATAGGGTATGGCATGTTATAGATATATTAGATGTATAAGTAGGGTATTGTGTGTTTCTGTAGGGGCTCTCTTGCACCCAGGAGGTACTCTATTTTACACTACATGGCATGCAGTCAAAGCCCTTTCTTACTTACTTTTGCTGTCTAAATTACTGCCATTTCCCTGTCGTGTTGTTGGTGCATGCCTAAAACCCGCTCAAGGAGCTGTAATATGTGAGGTTGAATGTCAGGAAGCATTGGCATGATGAAATATAAAGTTGAGCAGTGCTTTTACATTTTGTATTGGCTTAGCCAGTAGCTGGGTGCCTCAGGGCTGTGGTCCTTGAATGAGGACTACGCTGGGCTGTTGCTGAAGCAAGGACAAGAGCTGGGTTCAAATACGCATCACTTAGCAAAACCTCTGTTCAAGCCCCACTGGAGAAAAAGGAAGACTATGTCCTTTGTCTGTGACACTTTACTGAAACCATTGAGCAAGGTAGTAATCCTTTAAATCCTTTACCCAGAGTAAATGAGAAATCTACCAAAATTTAAGATGCGTTTTGTGCTCCTTTTTTAGGGTTACTATGTCTCTCTGTGATTTTCAGGATAGCCACTGCACTTCAAAGCTTTCAAGAGTCTGTGGGCAACCTCATATCTGTGCACAGTTGGGACAGACAAAAAGCCTTGATGAAAGGCTATGTGCTGTTCTGCATAGCACATAAACCATAGTATTGCCTCTGTCATCACAAATTGGCAGCTGTACATCTGTAACTGTGGGCCACTACAAACATACCTGGGCAAGATCTATGAACAGAAAATGAGCATGTCCAGAAATAAAAGATGTCCCTTTCTCCTCTGGATTATGAGGATGAGTAATGACTGAACCAAATACAAGACTGAGGTCTTTAGTTCAAAACTGAGATGCTTTAAGCAGAGAAATTCAAGAATCCAGCATATATCCTCAGATGCTTCCACAGGAAACGTTCAGAGACCTGAGGTCACAAAGAAATAGCAATAGGACAGGTCCTGTGATGAACTCCTTACCTCTGCTTGCATAGTTTGCCTTATTGGCCAACTTGCTGCTGAAAGTAGGAGAGAGGTCTCACAGCTTTCTCAGGCCAGAGGACATACAGTGTCCATAAATAAAAAATGGAGAGGAAAGCCTAGACTCCCCAAGTCAGATCTCTGCCTGTAACTCTGCATTTATTGCCAGTTTGGTGCATCTGAGTGGGATGGGCAAGGAAGACATTGTCGTTCAAATCTATGCAGACAAGGTTCAAAGCCTGATACAGTGTGTAACTCTGAAGAAAACTTCTGAAATGGGTACCAGTGAATGAAACCAGGCATCCATCTCACACCATTAAATTCTTTCTGTATTGAAAAAAGAATTTGATCCTTCTCCTGTACAAAGTTGGGTGACGCCATCAAGAGAAACACAGAACCATAGAACAGTTTAGTTAAAAGGGGATCTCTGGAGGTTATCTGGACCAATCCCACACTTAAAGCAGAGCCAACTTTAGGGGCTTTGTGTAGTTTAGTTCTGAAGACATCCAAAGCTGGAGGGGGCATGACTTGTTCACATGATTGCCCTCATGCTGAAAGATATTTCTTAATACCTGACTATTATTTCCCTTGTTACTACTTGTAACTGTTACCTTCTTCCTTTCCCTGGCCATTTCCAAGAAAAGTCTGGTTGTGCCTGCCTAACATCCTCTATATTGAAGTTGTGGACAGTAGTAAGGTCTCTCCTGAGCCTTATCTTCTTAAGGCTGAGCAAACCCAGCTCCCTTTGCCTCTCCTTACATGTCATGTTCTCCATCCCCTGATCATCCTGGCGGGTTCTGCTGGATCCACTCCAGTGTGTCAAGTTCTGTTTTTTACTGGGGAGCCCCAAACTGGACACCACTCCAGATGTGGTCTGACAAGTGCTGAATAGAGAGGAACGTTCTCCCTCAACCTGCTGTAGCCTTTTGCTGCAAGGCTACTCTGCAGACCAATGATGAATATCTTTTCCACCAGGATGCCCAAGTAATTTCCTGCAAAATTGCTTTCCAGCCAGTTGTCACCAGCCTAAACTGATGTTCAGGGTTCTTCCATCGCAGATGCTTTTGCTAAACTTCATGAGGTTTTTGTCCACCCATTTCTTCAGCCCATCTATGTCCCTTTGAATAACAGCCTTGCTTGTCAGTGTATTGACCACTCCCTCAATTTGGTATCATCTCTATTCCCAGTCTGATGCATTTTCTTTCTAATTGGAACCATCTGCAAGACTGAATTGGTAGTTAGATGCTGGGCTGAGAAAAGGTGATGCTTCTTTTCTACAACCACTGAAACCTGTTTCAAAGTGGAAATGTTCTTGAGGGAGAAAAGTACTAAGTGTCAATTGAGAAAAATAAAGCAATGATAGACCAACCATATACTTACAGAAATGATAAAAAAATTGGGCAATGACACTTTTCCCCCAGTTTCTTTACATTCCATCATGAACACTCCATGTGTAGAAGTCCCTCTGACACTTCTCTCTCCCTTTCTGCTGTGATGCACCTTTGTCACAGAGTATCTTCTTAGGTTTTCATTCAAGAATCTGGAGGTGTTGAGAGGAAACTTTAATGTGTATGAATCCTACGATGTGAAAGTTTTATTGGTTTTAGACTAGTAGAGTTACCTTTTAGTGACAAAAGAAAGTGCTTGAAAATTTTTTCTTGAACTCCAACAGCTAGTTGTTTATTTTCTCTCTTTTCTCTATCAGGATTAGGCTGGAGGTAATAAGTCTTCTGGATCATGTTATAGATTTAAAAAATCAGAGTAGAATTATTTGATTCACAGGTTCCCCACAATTCTATTTCCCATTTCTGTCCTATATCCTGTTTTTCATAGGATTTTGTTCTTTTCTTGTTTGAACTGTGAAGTTGGTGCTCACCTAAAAAAATGCTGGAGATTCCCATTGGGACAGTCATATCTTTCTTTTCTTGCACAATTATCTTCCTATCAGAGCATCCTTTGTTTTATGACTTGTTAGAACAATTTACCTTCTATGATACCTCCTCTGAGAGGGTGTGAGTGTCCCAGAACAAGGTCAGTGTGGGGAAGCAGCAAACCAACTTTTTTTATCCAGTTGCTCAATTGATATCAATCATTTTGTCTCCACTGATTTGCACATGGCAATTTCATAATAGCATGCAGTAAATTTTAATAGGCATCTTATTTCATCTGTTGTCAGTTTTTGCATGGTCTCTCAAAGTCTTTGAGTGAGAAATGCTTCAGATAAAATTCCTGGATTTTCCCTCAGGCATACTAATATTTTTAAATCCAGTGTTCCTGGCAACCTGGGATAGTCATTGTATTTATTTGAGGTTGCCTGTGTTTGCACATCACAATGTGATGTGAGTGCTCAGTTTTCAGATGGAGAACAGTATATGAATGTGTAATTTTAATCATCTGATGATATAGATCCTGAGCAACCTTGTGATGGAGGAACTCCTGCCTAACCTTCAAACAATGATCCTGCCTAAAATGAAAGGAAAGAGAAATGATAGGAAGCGGACCTGGTTTGGTGTAAGTACTGGTATTTACAGAGTTTTTTCTCTTAAAACCTTGTTGTCTGTGTGTGCTGATTCTAATGTATGCTTTTTAATTTAATTTGGGTTTAGATCGTAGAAGAAACTTACAGCTTAGTTCAGCAGCAAGTGTCAGAAGGATTAAGTACCTTGAAAGAAGAATGCAGAGATTTTGCAAAAACTCTTGAAGGAACGATTCGTTCAGACATTGATCAGATTCTGAACTCCAAGAACTTCTTAGCTGGAAAAATCAAAGGTTAGTGGAGGAACAGCAGTGTTTTGCAGCAATTTTTTAATGTTTCCCATTGTGTTGCTCAGATTACCAGATGTCATTGTTCTGAAATTCTCATGTGTTTTGAAAAATCCAACTGGAGACACTAATTTTCAGAAAACAAATGCTTTGAACCTCTGCTGCCTTTGATGGGAACTGATACCTGTGGCCACTGTGCCTTTGAAAATACTAGGTCTTCTCAAATGGAGGTAGACCTGATGGGTTTTGAGTATTATGATTAGAATTGCTTGTTCTGCTTTCATTTTTATTTGGACAGCCTTATGCAATGAAGATAAGAGGTCACATGAGCATAATTAAAAGTGTAGTGGTTTTGACCTGATGCCTTGGAATGTGCCACAAAACCAGGTTCTGGTTATGTGACAAATTCATAAGCTATGAAAGAGAACTTAAGCCAAAGGACTTCTTAGATAGTTTTAAACTAATGTGAAGTAATTTATAATTTTGTTATGAATATAAAAATGAGTGTAAAAAGCAGGCAAAACATTAGTTGATGTTGCTTGTTGCTTAAGCTAGCAAATAAATAACTGATAATTTAGGAGCTGTTTTGATAAAACTCAGGATGTTCTGTTGATATCCTCACATACCAGATTAGGATGCTTTCAGTGAACTAGAGTACCAAGTTTGGATGCTTTCTTATAGAGTCTCTGTGGCCATGTTCTGTCTGAATCTCCCAGTATGTATCAATGCTAAGAGCTGCCCTTTCCTGTGCTCTCATAATGCCCCTAAGCTGCTAGCATTTGATTAGGCAGGACATGGGAAGGGTGTTTTATTGTCACTCATAAAACTATAAACTCTCCTTTCATCATCTTCATCTTTGTGGAGGTGTGACTCTGGGGAAAAGCAAGGAGTCATTCAATTCATTGTAAAGTAAATTATTTCAGATTACTTTTTCACTATATCTCTTAGTAGCCTAAATGCAACTGTTGTATTGTCTGACACTCTAGCCACTGTTTCTGAGCCTGCTCAGAAGTGCTGCACCGAAAATATCCAGCCATTTCTCACTTCCATATTAGAGGAGCTCATGGGTCCAGTGAGTTCTGGATTCACTGAAGTCCGTTCACTTTTTGATAAAGAAGTTAATGAAATCATCCAGGACTTCCAGAAGACAAATGATATCACAAAGCTAAAGGAGGTAAGGCAAAAAAATCTATTTGGAGCCTTTTATATTAGCACAAGGGCCTCCTAGCTATAATTTGATTGACAGCAGTGTTTGCTTTCCCAGGTGGTAGTATGTTAGCTCTTGGGTTTTTTGTTTAGGAAGTCTTGTGGTATTTGTGCAACTGGAGTGCAGATACCAGAATTTGGGTTAGGGCCACTGTTAAATTCTCTATTAAAAATTCACCTCTGGTGTCTTTCTCTTGAAACCTGTTCTTCCTCCACTGGAATGCAGAACATGGATCAGCTTACAAACCTGCCACTCAACTCTGTGAAAATGGAGCCCTGCTATCTGAAAGTGAATCTCCTCCAGGAGCTCCTTCAAGACCTCAAGAGTCGCTTCAAGGTCTATCACATTGATTTTGTGATTCAGAGGACACAGAACTTTATGCAAGAGGTACTGTAACATCCAGTTTTTCCTCCTGGGAGAACAGGTTAGGTTTGCTCTTCTAACGTGCTTCAAAGCAACCTTGACAAAAAGCTGTGCAAGAGTCCCAGAATATCTCTCGATCAAAGTACAGATAACAAAACCTAAGAAAATCACAGCTAGAAGATGTCTGACATTTACGTTTGTGAGGATGCATGTGTCTTTCAGCAAGGCACAAAAGTTTTGGATGGATCATCTCTTCTGATCTTTTGTGTTCTGAATTCTCAGTACCCAAGAAAGTTGTGCTTGTATCCAGTGGAGTACTAAGTTCTACCTGATTTCCATTCTCAAGGATTCAGGAAGGGTCTTAAATATATTTTACCAAAATGGAATGTCTCTTCCTTGGTAGTCTATTTTCTCATTAATATAAAGTCAGGCAATTAATATTAGAAACGGGCAATTACTTGGACACAGATGATGTCTCAGGATGTAGCTACATTTAGGTGCTTTAAACAAACTTCACTTCTCATTGGAATGGTTGAAGTGTCTACATCATTTCAGATAGAAAATTAACTCCTCTTTTCACCATCTAGTGTGTACAGGCTATAATTTCGCTTTGCATTTGTTTCTTCCAGATGCCTGGCCAGAAATCTATTAAGAGCTGGCTATTAGAGTTACTTTGATTGCCAGATCACAAGACAGATTTGGCCTTCTACCTCTAGGTTGAATCTTGTGATTTTAATATGCAGTTGAGAAACTAAATAATCTAGTTGGTAATCTTATGAAATGGAGCTGGTCCAGTTCTATGGAATGGGAGTTGTGAATATGGAAAGGAAGTCTCTAGCACAGTGCTGGGAGATCTTTTAAGCAGATCATTTAAGTACAGCCATGATCAGCAGCCAAAGAATTATTTAGAAATAAAGTTCTGATTTCATCTCTGGGTCTTTTGGGGAGACCATTCCAAAATGCTGCCAAATAAAATGTCTTTCAGTAAGTGAAGGTTATGAGTCAAGATATAGAAGTAGACAAAAAATACAGTCCATGTGGTGCTTTTTTTCTGAACAGAACATGAATGAAAAATCACAATAAATAAATTAAATTAAAGAACAAGTTGTTCTAAAAATGCGGTTAATGCTCCTCTCCTTAAAAACCTTGTATCTAAAAATACTGTTAATGCTTCTCTTTTTAGAAGGCTGGTATTTTTCTCAGAAAAATAGCAAGTAGTTTCACTTTGTAGTCACGGACATTTATTTTATTAACGAGTAAGGTCAGACATGTCTATGCTCGCGTAGCCTTAATGTCAAAGCATTTGGCTGGGGTGGAGGCGGGAGCGGAATTCCTTGGCTTGGGAGCTTGGCATCCTCTAGCGGCCAGTTCTCAGAAATTTCGGAGCACAGTGCTCAACTGGCGTAAATAAAGCGGCTTTAGTGACTTCACCAGAATTACACCAATTTATCACTTGCTTCAAATAAAAATTGAGATAAGAAATGAGTAGTTAATCTTTTAATTAGCCTCAGACTTAACTCTACACTGATCCTGTATTTTTCTTGAATCCAAGGTTTTGCAGTGCATGAGCATTTATTGTACAGCCTTCTCATGCACACACAAATTAAATAAATCTCCACATTCTGCATTATACAGCCTGTATAGTCCAATCCTACATTATCTGAAAACTCAGTTATAAAAACTGGTCTTCAACATTTGTCACTGTGTGCTTTCATTCACGAAGATTTACTAGCCAAGGAGGAATTAAAAGCATGTCTTATCCCTAAGTATGTACATATTAATTTACAGACTACAAGAAGTCTTATATTATACATGGCTACATATATTGACTGAGGTAGCCCCATGTGACGCAAAGGAATAGCTGGCTCTATGGACAGCCTCCCTGTGGATATCCCTGTACTTCTTTAATCAGAATATATTAAAATTTAAATGAAAACACTTAGCTAAAAAAGGCAAAACCTAATTAAGTAGAAGTAATTAACACTTGCAGAACTGTTTTTCTGAAATACCTTTACAGAATAGTGGATTAATGTTTTTAATGAATCTCTGCGCAACCTGAAAATACGAGAAATGCCAGCCTACCTAACATAATTCCATGAGAAATGACTTCACTCTGCAATTTTTGCTGATAGTGATTTGTTTCATAAGTAAAGCTACTAATTATTTACCTTTAAAAAAAAATTCTTCAGTATTTATGGTTAAGACCATTAGAATCTGATAGGAGTCAGTGGGAGTCATCTCATTAGGGATAATGAGTTTTGTCAATGGCCTTCCTATATATAGGTGATTGATTCTACTTTTTTGTCTTTGTGACTGTCAGTTTGGATGGTGACATGAGATTACATCTACAGGAAAGCTATGATAGCTTAATAATGATACCAAGGCTTTATTTTCTTTATTGCAAGATTTCTGTGTATGTTTTTTCTTCCCCTTCCACAATAATTTAAAGTAATTGAAATTTTTATTTTAAGCCTGTTATTTTTTCTCTGTTTTGCCTTCTTAAAAGTACAATTTTATGTTACTGGTCTGTAACAGTTGTTGCGGGTTTTTTATTTATTATTGTTTTTAGCTGATGGAAAATGCAGTTTATACTTTTGAGCAGTTGTTCTCTCCAAGTTGCCAGGCAGACTCAGCGAAAGTTGCAACCACCATTGAAAAAGTCAAGCTGAGAGTACTGAAGGTAAATGCCTTTTCGAAACTGAGAATGTATTTTATATTAATTTATGTCAGTATTTGAAAGAGGGTATCTCTTACCATCCAGCTGGAAATACTGATTTGGTGGCATTTAGCATTTGAGGGTAAAACCTAGTTCTGGACATACACTTGTGAAAGTATTTACATGTGCAATGCCTTTCATTGCAATTAAATCGGATGGACATGATACTGTGAATCTGGGTAAATAATTTTTATTAGCTTTATAGTTAGCTTGCCCCTAGAATTTGCTATTCTCAGAAGAGGCAGTGATGAAATACCTGGAGAGAAGAATTGGGGGGCTGTTTCTAGAAGAGAAAGAGATCCAAGAAAACTAGATTTTAGAGTACTTTTTAAAAGCTGGAATAACCTGCATAGGAATTCAAACCCCTGAGTGCACCCATGATATGGTGTCCTTTGGAATTCACCCATTACCAGTTACAGGATAACAAGAACCAGCTCCTCTTACGAGTGATTAATAACCGCAGATATGTTTGGGCTTGTTTCTCTTTTTGTCTGTTTTGACAGCAATATGATTATGATAGCAGCACTATCCGGAAGAAGATATTTCAAGAAGCACTGGTACAGATTACTTTGCCCACAATGCAGAAGACACTGGCTTCAATGTGCAAACCAGTAGGTTTCTGTGAATATAAAAAACAACCATAAAAGGCAGAGAAGGATTAACACCTTGGCAGTAAATCCTCAGTTCAAAAGGCTGTTTTCTCTTGGACAGTTGTGCAGATTGGCTGCCAGCTGGGACAGACACTTAGATTTGCCAGTTCATGGACTGGATAGATACGGAACATAAGGAAGATTTCAGGAAACAGGGAAGCTGTACATACAGCTTGCTTTCTCAAAGATAGTTGCAGATCTTTGCCTATCCCTATTTCATTTCTTCCCTAGAGGTTTGAAGTCCCCTCAAACTGGACTCCTCTTGAGAGTTATGATTGTGGTTTGTGAACTTGTCCTTGTGTTCAGCAGCCCTGTTGCAGACAAAAATGCAGTCTGTGGGAGAGGGCACTTTCCTTTTCAGCAGCGCTCTCAGAGGCACACCTGTGACCATACAGAGCCCCTGCTGTCAACCTCCTTCAAAGCCAAATGCCTGCTTGGGCAGCAGGAGCAGACAGACCTTGCACTTGCTGTCAGTGATTTTAAATGGAAGCAATTGTGTCAAGAATCAGGAAACAAACAGAGATGATCTCTGTTATCCTTAATCATATGGGTAGGTTAGTACTCAGCAAATGTGGCTACCAGAGTTTCGTGGAGATGTTATCAGTATGGCTGCATCAGAAACGTGCTGGAATGCTGTTCACCTTGACTCAAAACAAATAGTCTGTGCCTTTCTTGAAGCCCATGCATATCCTCTTGCATTTCCACTGTACCTGCTGAAAAATGACTTCCCTAAGCCATCCCAGCCTCTCTGTACTTTTGTTTCCCTTGATGTTCATCAGTTCCCACAGGCTGTGCTGCTCTTGGTGTTGCAGTTTTAAAACCAAGTATTTTCCCAAGTTATGCTTGTGAGACTTTAAGTATGGATTATTAAAACTTACAACTTTCAAAAATGTGTTTAAAATCACTCTTCTCTATGTCACTCTACTTTCTTTACTATCCCCAAAATAATAGTCTCTTGTAGAGTGCCAGCAGTGCCTTCACACAAGCGCAAGCATTTCATCACCTTGAATATATGTAGAGAGGGTGGAGTCTCACATCACGTCTCTGTCATACAGGATGAAGGAAGCAGTGGTGATGCAAACTTCCCACAAGCCCTTTCTATTTCATTTATGACAATTGTGTTTATGCCTCTGCAGAAACAAGCAGCCAGCTCTAGAAGTAAATATGTGGAACAGTTGACATGCCCAGTAAGGTCTTGTCGTCTTACTTGAAAACCTCCAGACGTTTTCATGTAAGCACCTTTTCTAGAAGCAGGCAGAGGTTACATATAGACAATCAACAGCTGTTTAGTAATAATGACTCAGTTATTGTCTAGACAGGCTATTGCATATAAATCAGTAAGCTAAAATGTTACACACCTATTAGAAAAACAAAGTCAAACCCTGTATCTCCCGTGCTCACTGTGGATTTGCCTCCTTGGGCAAACAGTGAGGCATTTCCTCACTAGCTATTTATTTCAGAATTGTTTATTATAGTGCAGATGGTGGCAATCTATACTGCTTTTAAATGTAAGTATTGTGCAAGAATACTGCTTGATAAATGCATAATAAAGTGTGAACATACATAGTTCATTTAGTCATAGTTTGAATAGATCATCTCAAGAGCCATCAAGGAGCATTGCAAGACCTGCTAGAAAGCATCTCCAAGGTGCTATGTTGAAACAGAACTTCCAGAATCTCTCATTTTTATATATCTGTTCCTTTCTTCTCTGTCTGCACAGGAGTTGCAGAAATACGAGCAGTTCATTTTTGCTGATTACACTAGTGTGATTCAAGTAGAAAATGTGTATGAAGAGATTTTATATCAGACACTGCTTGAAGAAACCCTGAAAGGTGAGAACTTTATTGAGGTGACAGTAACAACATTTCAATGTGAGCTCTTGCCTCAGAGCTTCCCAGAGTCCAAACCTGGCTATTTCAGTCCCAGGTCCCACTTTCCTGAAGACCGTTGGTTACGATGCTACAGTGTTTTTATTTAGCGTGCTAAAAATATATGGCAAGCCCTAAAATGTGAATTATGTGGCAACTTCACTAAACCTGGGAAATTCAAAGTGATAGCTTGGCACAAGCCTATTTTTAACAAAATATAATTATACCAACTTCATTTCATCTTGATTTCCTGGGCCAAGGAGTGAAATTATGATCTTGTTTGCAAAGACTTGGTGATATCTAATGGCAGCAAAAATTAATTTCCTCAAATGAAATGTACTGCAGGATGCAGTTTCCAGCACATCAGTGATGCCAGTGCAGTGTTCCCTGCAGATCTCTCTGCTTTTGTGGCATGTATAGGTACATAAAATACTTGCATCTCTCTGGATCTGCCTGTCTGTCTATATCCTAGATAAAAGACAAGCATGTGTATTGCACAGCAAATTTTAATAGACCTTCTTTGGCACTACTGTTTAAAAATATGAGTGTAATAATAAAAGTAAAGAACACACTTCTATTCATATATTCTTGTAATATGCATTGAAACATTATCTTTGTGCACTGTGGGTTCCTCTGGTAGTTTTCTATTACAGCAATGCTTAGGTCAATATTGAAGTTCTATTATTCAAAACAGATAAAATCCCTGCCCTACCCCACCCCAAAAGAAATGTAAACTAAAAGCAAGTTGAAAATGAAAACTACTACTACATACCAAATGTACAAAATTAGAAACTTGGGAAAACACTGTACCTTCTTCAATGTACCTCTGTCAGTCTTTCCAAAACAGTTTAGTCTTTCTGTTTTATCTAGTGATAAAAGAAGCTGCCATTATGAAGAAGCACAACCTCTTTGAAGATAACTTGAATTTGCCCTGTGAAAGCGTGTCCAGCTTAACAGACCTGAAGACCCCTTCAGGATCAGCACAAACCACTCCTGCGAAGAAGCCTTCCACCGCTCGAGCTGAGATGTCAGACACTGAAACTCAGAGTGATGAAATGCTCATTGTGACAGGAAAAATTTCTTGGGAGAAGGATCATGATGATAGAAAGTCATCAGACAAAGAGGCAGTCACTTCTGTTAAAACAGCTAGTGATCAGGCAAGCAAAAGTGAAGAAGTGTTCCATATAGACATTGGCCAAGACCAGGAGTCCCTTTCAGCTATACTTACAAAACAAGAAGTTGTAGAGAAAAAAAGCACTTTGGAGAATGAAGATACAGTGAAAGCAGAGTGTGTAGTAAACACTGAAAAAGAGCTTAAGACACAACCAGAAGCTGTGGAGGGAAAAGTAGCTTCTGGGACTGAAACCGAAGTAAAAGGTCTTGGAGCCAGCCCTAAAAAAGAACTTAAGGTACATGAAGGAGCAGTAGAAGAAAAGGTAACTTCTGAGAGTCAAATGGCAATGGATGCTGTGTTTGTTGGTGGCACAGAAAAAGCAAGCAAAGCATACAAAAAAGTTTCTGTGATAAAGATGACTTCCCCACATGATAACGTAGCAGAAGCAGATATTTTAGGGGATGCTGAAGAGAAAATCAAGGTAGAAAGAGAAATTACAGAAAAACTAACTCGAAGTGAAAATGCAGTAGGAATGGGATTTGAAGAGGATAGTAAAAAAGAAAGCAACGGCCAAGGAGCTAGTACTGAGACAAGGGTTATTTCGCAGGATGAAAATGCAGGGAAAGGAGGGCCTTGGGATAATCCTGAAAAAGAAGGAAAGTCAGAAGAAAAGAGTTTTAAATCCCCCGATGATGTGAACGAGATAAGGAGTTTGCTTATGGTTACAGTTGAGATACCAGCAGATACTCCAACTGAGAACATAAAGGAGATTTGCAAAAGTGAGATACTAAAGTTGCAGGAGCACAATAAAGGGAATAATGAGTTGAGCAAAATGGCTGCAGAAGAAATTCAAGTGAGCCAGATGATGATGAATAAAGATGCAGCAGAATGTGCAGAGTTCAAGGATGACCAACCATCTTCATCTAGTTTGGGGACAGATGGTACGAATTTAAAAGATGTGTCCAAGGGGGCCTGCAATATAGCACAAGCAGAATGGCTGGTGGAAAGCTCAGATATGCCTCAGGAGACAAAAGCAGAGGTGGAGATCAGACAAAGTGTTTGGTACACAGGTGTGGGAAGCTGCAAAAGTGATAGATTGCAGCCAGAGGAACACACTGAAAATGTGTCCAAAGTCAAAAGATTAGATGGGGAGGAGGGAGGAGCAGGGAATAGCCATGCCACTGTGGTGGAGACTGAAAGCTTTTTTCATAATCCTGCTGAAAATGCAGACACAACACAAGTGCCCATTTTGGATACAGAAAACCCTAGAACAGGACTACTAGATACGCCAGTTTCTTGGGTGCTGGAGCAGGGCGAGGTTAGTGCCATAGAGGTCATAGAAGATACAGAGGCTGGTGAGGGTGAAGGGAAGCCAGGACATGAATCATCTTCACACATGGAACTAAAAAGCACAGAAGTAAAAGATATTTTCACAGAAGAAAACAGAGAAGATAGTTACACACAACAAAACTCTGAGGAGTAAGAAGTGTTTTTCAATGCATCCCTGCAGGATTTATTTACTCCAGTAATCTCTGTTTAATTGTGACTACTTTGGGTCAGAGCTAGAGGAAATGGGCTTTGTTGTGGTTTTACCAGCTCTTGCAGTTTTAGCACAGAACCCTTCCTGTGTGATGGGTGATAGGTTTCTTTTCAGTTAAAGCCCTCACTGTTTAAAACCAGGTTGCTGTTGGGAACCTCATCTATCATTCAAAATTTGCTACCTTTTGTGGTTATAGAAAAAAGTCTGAAAATATGACCACTGGATGGTTCAAAAGCAACTCACCCCCAATTATAAAGTTATTTTAACAACTTAACTGTTCTTAGTTTTTTAGAAAGGGAGTGGCTCATGGTTTTTAAGTACATGGATTTGACAAGTACTGCTGTGATTCTTAGGTGGTTGGTACATACATTGCTATTCACGGATGCTTTTAGTATTTGCATGTAGAATACGGGAAATAAATAAACCCTTTAGTAGTTAAACAGAACCAAATAATTAATTTAGAAAGTTGCTCAAAAGCCACACTGTATGCAAACTCTGCAAACTGATTACTTTAATATCCACCACAACTTTAAAATAATTAAGACAAGCAAGTGTTCGGACTTTTTGTTTTTTTTTTAATTGCTGTATTTAAAATGGGGAAAATATGGGAGCAGGTTTCTCAGTCCCGCTGTGTACTTCTAGGTTATTTAGCCTTTCAGAGCACTTTATGGCTACTTTATTTTGTTTAATTTTATGGAAGGGAAGATGAGAATGTTTACAACAACTAGAACTATTAGGCAGCATCTTTCTGTTTTACCTCCCGCCATAAAATATATTCATTTACGGCTGTCTAATACAGAATATTCATAATTCTGCCATTACCATTTTTACTGAGTAACCCAGTTCTGTAAGTCTTTTGAGGTGCAAAAATTATATAATAAATGACAATAATTGTGAAATATCATAATAATTGTATAGAATTTCTAACGCAGATGTTAAGCAAAGAGCAGCCAAAGGTTATTCACATGTGCTTAGACTTTGGGGGGCAGAATCACATTTCAAAAGCAGTTATTGAAAAGAGACCTATTGCTATCATAGGTGGCATATTATCATCCATATCAAATCTATGCACAGAGTTGCTTATATGCATTATCTGCATATTTACAGCACATAAAAGCTTGGAAATGAAAACCAGTATTTTAGTAAAATGGGCTTTAGATTTCAAGGCCTCACTTCAGAGATCAGTTTAAAGCACCTTAAAATTTTTGCCCGGTATTTCAGACTGTTTCTGAATAAATATAATACAGTACAGGACAGCAAAGATTAATAATAAATGAGTAATGATAAATGCAGGATTTACACCCATAAAGACATGGGAAAAAATATTAAATTCTTGAGAGCATAATACTTGTTGGCATTTAACTTCAACAAACTGTGCAAAGTCTATTATTTAATGCTATCAAAATATGCTACAATACTAACATTGAATTGACACTAGAGGAACAGGCAAATATTACTGCACAAGAAAGGAACATTGTTGAGTAACTGGATCAACTGCAGTGTCACCATTGTAAAATAAATGCAACTGCTGTTTGTTCTAGAAGTCATACTGAGGTATAGAAACGTTAAGGTCACGGAAGTTTTCCTTGCAAAAGTACTTTGACTCATTTCCTCCTTGTATTTCATGCAAAAATACTAATTTGTAAACACACAAACCACTGTCAGCCATTTTTTAACAAATCATTCATTATCTCACTGTAAGCCGCTTTGTTTTTACAAACCATTAGCTATTTCTAATTAGTACTGGATGTTAAGTGACTTCAAATTTATAATGTGTTTTAGAGTTAAGCAGCAGCAGTCTCTCTTAGCCGTGATAAATTAGGCAACATGACTGTTTTTCATGCGACGTTGTATGAAGGAGGACTAGCAAGACAGTGACTCCACAAAAAAGGCTGCAGTCTCCAAGAGCTGTTTAGAACTAATACAAATCAAGATACATCTATACAGAAAGTATTTAGCAAAAGCATTCCCATCATAGTAATTTTTCAGTTATTTCTACGGCAGATTTAGACCTGGGTAATATCTTCCTGTAACATTGAAGGATTAAGTTGCTGAATACAGGTTCTCAGCATTGTTTTTCTTAAGTAGGTTGGGAAAGAAGAGGGAAGATTCAGCCTGTACATTACCTTGTTCTGCAATTTAAATTGAAGTTCCTCATGGCTAGGGGACGGAACCTTTGACTTTGTGGACATTTTCTGTACATTTGAATGTTTGCAAATGGATAGAGTTTTGTCTTTACATAGACTCGGGTGGAGGTGACAGCGATTTAGAAGTTAGCAATCCACAAGGTTATGTTGGACCACGGATCAAAAAGTACAATAATCCACCCATTCAGTGATTTTTGTCAAGTTCTTGGAATTTCCTACACTTACTCATAATGAATTATTGTGCTTGTAAACTAGGAACAATAATAAATCACCTTTCACCGCCTGGAAGTTTGAGGGTTAGGAACACTGGGGTGCCTTGAAGGGAGTGGCTGGGGGAGTGTTACTGCTGTTTTATGGGATTGCCAGTTTTAAATGACAGGATATGAAACACGTTGTATCTTGCTTAGATCCGTGTAAAAACGCTTATCATGAAAATAAACGAAGCTCTTCCCTTCCATCGCTGGGAGGTTGGTTTTTGTGTGCGGCAACTTCACTAGAGGGCGGGTGTACCAAAGGCACGCGGGCGGCTGCCGGGGGCCGAGTGAAGGAGGCCGGTTACGCCGCGCGCCCCGGCTGAGCCCTCGGCTCCCGACTGGACCGGGCGCCCCTCCCCTCCCCCCGCGCCGCGCCGCGCCGCGCCGCGCGCAGTCCCACTCGCGACCGCCCCGGTGCATGCCGGGAATTGCAGTCCGACACCGCACCCGCTTTTCCCGCCCCTCCATTTGTCTACGTCGCCCTCTCCCCCGGCACGTCGCTGCCGTCACGTGGCCCGCGTGCCCTCCCGCGTCGCGTTCCCGTTGGCGCGGCGGGGCGGTGCGTGCGGGGGACCCGGAAGTGGCAGAGTGAGGCGGTTTCCTTGGTTTCCACAGGAAAGTGGAGGGCCGGTCCCTTCCGCCTGCGCGTCGGCTCTGCGAGCTGTGGCTGCCGTGCCGCGAGGGGCGGGCAGCGGGCGAGATGGGCCGGAGCTAGGCCTAGCAGCACCGGGCAGGCGGCCGCGGCCATGAGCGGAGGTGCAGGCTGCCAGGGGGGCGGCGGCGGAGGAGACGACGATCGGGGGCCCCGCTGGAGGAGGCCGTGGAAGCTCCTGGCTCTTGGCCTGCTGTCTGCCTCCTCCGTTCTGGCGGCCGCCCCGGGCGCCGGGGCCATGAGCAAGGAGGAGAAACGCCGGTTGGGGTGAGCGCCGCCTCGGCGGGCCGGGCTGGGAGCAGGGGTTGAGGAACGACGGTGGCGCCGGCTCGTCCTCGAGGCTGCCAGATAGGCGGGGGCAAAGGCCAGCGGGGCCAGGAGCTGTCGCCGTGTTGCGGTAGGGGGTTCTACTCTGTCTCCGCTGGTTGGGCTCGATGGGTGCGGCTGTATCCTTCTTCAGGTAGTGCTTCTCTGGTCCTTTCTTTACCCGCACTGAGGACTCTACTAGACGAGGGTTTTCTGTCTCCCGTCGGTGTCTGAGGTGTGTCAGAGCCGGGCTAGTCTTTAGGGTCAGGTCATCAAGGCCCGTTATCGCCTCTGCTGTGTGTGGGGTCAAACTCTTCTGCCGTAGGCTTGAGAGCTGCCGTCTTGAAGACTGTAGCTAGTGTTTGCGTGTAATGATGGGTAAAAGTGATCAAAGGTAAATCTAAATCTGTTGTCAGTTGGTCTAATTATGGCTATGCCTCTGTAGCAAGTGAATGTTTGGGAGTCATAAAGAAGGTAAATGTTTACATGTGTTCTTGCCTAGTTGCTATATAAGATTGACTATAAGATAGACTACTTTGGTCCTGTGTGTTTGTACCGATTCTTTTTTAGTACAGTTTTTAGTTGAAGGACAAAGACGACAATATAGGTGGCAATGCATTGCACTGCATGGTGTAGGGCTTTTTTAGACAAATATGTGATCAAACATATCACCGTCTTAGAATATTAGTGGGGCAGTTTCATCATCCTCCCCCTCCCATCTACTGATCAGTTGCATTGAATAGTGGTGCAAAAAGTCTGCTGGAGAAGCACTCTGGATACTTTCATGGTTGTTAATCACTAGTTGTAAGTTGATATTTAACTTTGATAATCTTTACAGTTACTGAGCTTTTCCATCTTGGATTCTCAGGGTACTTTGTGTGTACAATGTTTTGTATGTTTGAATTTCATTCACCAGTTGGTTTTAAATTTTTTGTGTTCATAACTTGCAGTCACTGCATCATCTCATGCCCAGGCATATGCAAATAATGTCTTGCCACAGTTTGTATGTGAGAGACTGAGCTGGGTCGTTTCTCAATAACGGCAGGTTATCTGTGTATTTATTTAATGACAGTCACAGAAGTTATTACAGATGATGCCCTGTAGATGTAAGTTGTGTGTACAGAAATAGAAGTTTTAAGAAGCTTTCTGTGTGCTGCATCACTGAACAGCATTGTATGTTTAGTTCATCCGGATGTGGCACCTGTGTGCCAGATGCTAGGGTTTTGTCTGCTGAAAGGCACACCAGAACTGCAGACTGGATATAGGCTGTGAAGTACCTGAAAAAAGCTTTATACTCTGGTCTTTTGATGACTTAAAAGTATTTGATGAGTTAAAACTACTTAAATTTCCAAGTCACTGAACTACATCAGGTATTTAGAATATAATTGTAGTGTTTTTGTCTCTTTTATGTTCAGTCTTGTCAGTAGAGATTGTGAATTATGCTATTGGCAGCTTAGAACTTAGCATACTTTTTTGCCTTTCAGGGCTTCTCAGTAAAACAGTTAGGAGCAATTGGAAGTAGTGCTGGCTCAAAAAAAAACCCAGTGCTTTTTTAATATAGTAGTGTTTCTCACATTGACAGCTTTTTAAACATGTAAAATAAATGTATCTTCAAGGTTTTTCTTTGGTATTTTCCTGCCAAGACTTCTAATGCAAGGAAGAGGTGTACCTCATAATTTATGGTCCTTTTCTGAATCACAGACAGGAATTTATGCTGTGTCAGTAGGTTTTAGTATTGGTGATTACAAGCAGAACATAATTCTATTTGCTGTTTTTTGCTGAGCATGGATGTGTCCCATCTCTAGTTTTAATGTGTGGGTGACATCTACAAATATTTTAAGGGGAAGCACAAGAGGTTGAAAGAGATCCCCAAATACTTACCTTCATGTTAGGTGTCCTTTCTACAGTGAACAAAAGTAGCCAAATTAGGAAAAATTACTCTGCTATGTTTCATTTTCTTGAGTAGAGTACATTAGTAGAGTATCTGTTACTGATACTCAGTTATTAAAGTGTAATATATCTTGCAGTTCTAAGATGGTGAGTTAAAGGCCATTGTGAGGCAGACCACTAATGCTTTTCCTTGTTTCTTTTTTAGAAACCAAGTGCTTGAAATGTTCGATCATGCATATAGCAATTATATGGTAAGTAAAATACTTGTTGGTTTAATTTTTTCAGAGTTATTATTGCTGACTTGGGAGAGAAAGCAGTCTACAGTGTCATAGAATCATAGAATGGTTAGGATTGGAAAGGACCTTAAGATCATGTAGTTCCAGCTCCCCTGCCATGGGCAGGGGTACCACACACTAGACCATGTCACCCAAGGCTCTGTCCAACCTGGCCTTGAGCACTGCCAGGAATGGAGCATTCACAACTTCCTTGGGCAACCCATTCCAGTGCCTCACCACCCTTACAGTAAAGAACTACTTCCTTATATCCAGTCTAAACTTTCCCTGTTTAAGTTTAAACCCATTACCCCTTATCTTATTGCCACAGTCCCTGATGAAGACTCCCTCCCCAGCATCCTTATAGCCCCCCTTCAGATACTGGAAGGCTGCTATGAGGTCTCCACGCAGCCTTCTCTTCTCCAGGCTGAACAGCCCCAGCTTTCTCAGCCTGTCTTCATATGGGAGGTGCTCCAGTCCCCTCATCATCCTCATGGCCCTTCTCTGGACTTGTTCCAACAGTTCCATGTCCTTTTTATGTTGAGTACACCAGAACTGTACACAATACTGCAAGTGGGGTCTCACAAGAGCAGAGTAGAGGAGCAGAGTCACCTCCTTTGACCAGCTGGTCACACTCTTTTTGATATGGCCCAGATGTTCTAGAGAAATAGCATGGAGGTAGGGGCGGAAACAAAGGTAAATTAGTAAGAGCACTTGTACTGCCTTTGAAAATAAATGAATAAATCTTACTTACAGGAAGAGCAGTGTCAAGGAGGTTATGAGGGCTTTTAGAATGGTAGCTAGGGTTAATCTGTGCCTGATCTTTCTCAAACCAGTATATCTCACATCAAGCTATGAACAGTTTTAATTTTGGTAAAGTATTTGTTTTGAAATTCCAGACTCCTAAAAATACTGGGAAAAGGAAGCTCAGGAAGAGCTGTCTGTAGTCATCAGATTGTGGAGAACAGAAACTGGTCTTACTTTGTAGATAAAAAAAGTATGTACAGTATTCCTTTTGCAGTAAGATACGGCAGGTGCAATTTGGTAGCTCTTTTACAAATACTGTTTGTAGAACAAGAGGGGATCTGGCTTCATATCTACACAAAATAGCCTCTTCTGAGTATGTGACCGTCATATGACTGAACCGTGCTCACTATGGTTTCTTTTAGTATGAGTTGTGATTTTCTGTGCAGGTATCTTTGTGTTCTGGATGTGTGAGCCATTCTGCATTCTAATCAACCTTGAAATACATTAGCTTGGTTTAGATATGTTTAAGAATAAAGAGTTAGAGTGGACTGACTTTCCTCACGTGATAATTACTTTCAAATATACTATATAAGTAACACACTTCTGGGAAGAGAAACTGTGAATGTGAATAAGATAAATATAAAAGATGGAGTCTTACTGAATTTCCATTAACAAACATTTTGTACATTTTTTGTGGCTGTTGCAGAAACCTCTCTTTTCTTAAGTGGCACCAGTTCCTGCAGGACAAACTGCTGTGTCTTGACAATATCTTGCTACAAATCCTGGTTTCTGTATTATGGTTTAATACTTTAAAAAGCTTGTGAGTTACAAGTTTATGTAGTATAGGAGAGTTACAGAACTCTAGAATGGATAAAAAGCCGAGTAAGGGTATTTTTGAAGAGAGTGTAGTTATTCTTTTTAATATTAGTTCTTGCTTTTGACACCTTAGCAGTTTAACAAACATCAGCCTTTTTGTGCTAATTTGTAACTAGTTACTTTTGGGACCTGGTTCAATGAGAAGGACTTGACTTGTGTTTCCCATGGCATTCTGAAGGAAAAACTCTTGCATGTTTGGCAGAATTAGATAAAATATTATATCCTGGTAGAAGGGACCTGTGCTTCTACTATGCATTGTGTGTTGAACTGGAAACTGGTAGGCGTCTTGCTACACCTGAAGCAAGAAAATTCTGGATGAAAGAGGAAAATGACCTCAGCTATGCTGGAAACTTTGAAGCCAAAAGGGTATTTGCTTGCCACGTATGCTGGAGCGCTAAACAAACAAAGAAATATGATTTGTTTGTTTAAAGCTGAAAAAAAGATTAGTGTATCAGACTTG